TTTTTTTCTTTTTTTTTTTTTGTTCATAGATCTTAACTTCACAAATTTGACAAGACAGAGCAGGGTCCCTGTTGCCCAGAAAGGTAAATAGAAGAAATCACTGCTCAGGCAATGTCTCAGCTTCAAATTAAAACTCATCAAGGAATCTCAGACAAAGACAAAAAGCTGAGATAAGACATGGATTTTCCTCTAAGAAAGAGGAAAATTCCTCCCTGGAGTAATCAATGCAAGGCATGAAGTCAGATCAGAGAGAAAAGATGAGAAGTTAGAAGAGGTGGAATATTGAGGCAGAGAAACAGATTAAGCATAGCCCTGAAATCCTGGAAATCATAACAAAACACAATGGACCGCTGGGCTTGTCATCTAATGCTTCTCCTGCACAAACAACAGATCGAGATAATGTTTATGACATGAGTCGTAGGTACCTTCATGACACACAGGGGAAAAACTGCACCTTGGAGAGAAAAGGAACTGGAGGGCAGACAGAGCCCAGCCCCCCTGGTTCCTGGAATCAGCTGCAGGGAGCACTTCTGTAATTCTTTCATTCTATCTCAGCCCCTCTGCCTGAATGGCCATGTAATAACTGAGAAGCCGCTACGTGCAGGAGGTCATGACAAGAAGACAGAGGCACTGGGTGTAACGCACTGAGTGGCTCACAGGAGTGTGTCAACCCAGATGGAGCCACTCTGAACCCAAGACCAAAACATTTGGCCATCAGCACTTGAGTCAGTGACACATGGGTGGTAAAAGACAGATACAGACTTCTGCTTGCTCAGAAGACATCGTGCCAAACTGCACCATCAGTAAAACAAACAGAAAAAAACACTGAACCATGGAAAGAAAACAGGGAAAGCTCCAGTTGGGGTGCACTTCACTTAGAGAAGAATAAAGAGAATCTATTAGCAGGATAAATATTAACAGGTGGTTACAGATCAAAACCAATTGCAAGGCAGAGCTGACGTAGCAAGCCCAGATAAAAGGCACCAGGGGTGCCTGTGTAGGGCATTCTTGGTTTGAGTTCTGTACAAGAGGCAGAGCCTGAAATCCATTTGAGCCAAAGGGTTTCTGCACTGAGCCCACTGCGAGCACGAAGATGTTGACAGCAAGGCATGAAGAACAACATCCCACTGGAGATGAGGAAGAGGAGGCAATCAATATCCCCAGCTGTGAGGACACAAGCTGGGACTTTCTCTCTGCCTGGGGGGACTCACTTGCTGCCAGCCCTGAGGATGATGCCCTGCCACCAGGAGAGAAGAGATCATAAGGGCCACATACCTTGCTCTTAGGGAATGGCATTGCTTTAATCCAGCTGCCTGTATTTGCTGATCCCTTGCCCTGCAGTAGACTCCTAACTCTCATCGCATCATGGGGACACAGACCAGCAAGACATCTGACCTGGTCCTGCTGATGGGGCAGCATGTGGACAGACATCTGGGGACTCCAGAGTGATGAAGTAGGAGATTTTCCAAGGAAATGCCACGGATTACCCTGAAGGTGATGCTGCATCCAGGTGGGAGAACAGCCATCAAGACCAGATCAGCTGCTTAACATGCTACAAATTACAATTAAATTGCAGCTTATCCAGAAAGTTTTAAGTCCATCTATTAATAACTGCGTCCTCACGGACCTTCTCCTTGTGACAAAACCCTGCCCTTCTTGGCAGCCCCTAGGAAAGGCCAGCAGCTTTCTGGAGTGCAGGCTTCTCTGACCACCCAGTATGGGAGTTTAGTCCAACGCTGCTCCAGACTCACTCAGAACCTCACACTTACACTGAGCAGCACCTCAGACTCCCTCATCTCCTCCAAAGCAGATAGCTTTGGAGGATGAGATGGGATAAATCCTTCCCCTGCTTTGGAAACAGCTATAGAAAAGCCCCTGTGTCTTCTCCCTGATAGAAAAGGAAAGAAATGCTGAAACTCTCCATGTGGTATTGCCAAAGAGCATTAAAAGGAAGGAAAAGGCTGTGAAAAGTCTGGAAACCTCCCTTCTACTCCACCCCTGGCATTCACAGGATCGATGTATTTAAGTTGCAACAGAACAAACCCTACAACCACCAGATGGAAATAATGCTGCTGGAGGTGAGAGCTGCACAGGGACCATCAGTGAACCTCAAACAACCCAGCGACAGGCACTGTGAGCTCTCTGAGGTGATGCTGTGGGATCCAGCTGGCCATGCAAGGCCTGCAGAACATAACTCTTCACAGAACCAAAGAACCCACTGAGTGGTCTGTGCATCAGTCATTCTCAGAGTGTTACTCAGTGTCCCATCACTCACATTCACACCCTTCCTGTCCAGGTGTATGACATCTGTCCCTTTGTCAGCCAGTCCGACCCATTTCTCCTGGCCATAACTTTTCACTCCAACCCTTGCAGTAAGGCAAGCACCAGGTTCAAAGCAGAAGCCCTCTCTGCAGGAAGCCCCTGCAGCAAAGAGAATTTGTGAGCTATAAATAGATGCCCCTCATCAGCCCTGAGGGGCCAGGCAGAGCATCCATGTGATCCACTACTCCAGACTGAGAGGGGAGGCCAAAGCTGCCCATATAGAACCTCACTCTGCAGGAGATTTTCTTCTCCCACAAGGTTGGCCATGACAACAGATGTCTCCATTCCCTCAGGGTCCATTTCTATTCCTCTTCTGACTTAATAACCCATCTGCACTGTATTTACCCAGGGGAAAGACAGGTTATCTGCTGAAAGTTCCTTTCTCTCCACGCTCCATAACACGATCCATTTATGTAGCTACTCCTTTCCCAAGCCCAGACCATTTCAGCGGTCATGGGGTCAGACAGAACAGAGGACTCAGCCCATTGGAGCAAGCCATTCCCAGGGCACATGACAGAAACAGGGGAAAAACCTTCTACCAGGCATGGAAGACTTCTTGCTGACACAAGTGGTTGTGTCCCCACTGCCGTGGATGTTCCTGAAGAAGGGATCTAATAGACACTTCTCCCCTCAGCCTTTCTTCCAACATGGCTTGGTGCATGCTCCCAGATATCCAAGAATCACCAGGACTGCAAGGACTCCTCACTTAAGAGGATGCCCTAAGCCACATCTCAGGGATGGGGTAGCATCCAGGCACGGGGCCACAATCTCTGCAGTTCTGGGTGCTAAGCAGCCTCAGCACTGCTGTGCTTCAGTCTGAGTCTGCAGCATCCTGGTGGGAAGAGGAGCTTTGGCATGGCAGCTATTAGAGTGGGTGGCACCAGATGGTGGAAGCAGAGGGGATAAGAAAATAAATACAAAGAGGCTATCTTGAGGGGAGAAGTCGCCACATCAACACTCTGTTGCTTACACAGACTCCTTTTCCAAAGTCTAAACAAACATTGCTCAGTTCCCAGTGGGCACGGAAAAGACTTTGCTGGATGCGGGGGCAGGAGCCTGGGCACAGCCAGCCCCATACTGCTCCCATGTGCTGACAAGGGGGTTCAGAAAAACACATCTGACACAAGGTGAGGAAAACAAGGCCAAGAAGTGAGCCTGCAAGCCCTGCTGTCTGGTTATCCACTGGTTCTTGCGTAACCTTGGACATTGGAAGCCCATCTCTTGCTGACAGTCACCCCAGGATGGCTCCTAGTTTGCAGCAGGTCCATTTCTGCCTGAGCCCCCCAAACCCACAGCCTTTGTTACAGCCTCCTATCTGCATCTGCCAGAGTGTTCCATGAGGGAAAGTCGGAGGTGAAAGCAGCCTTTGAGCATGCAATGTCTGGCTCAGATTCCAAAGACAATTTATTATGTTAAGCACATTATTAAAGGATCTAAAGCAACAGAGCAGAGATATTCCAAGAAAGGTTTTAACTTTCCCAGCAAGGGGGCTCTTGGGAGTCCTCTTGTTAATACTTAGCACAGGGCTGTCTGCAACTGAGCCTATGGTGAACATAAATGCCCCCTCAGTCCCCTCTCAGAATCATTTGAGTTAAATCAATAGAGCCATTGGGGAGACTTGAGGAAGCAAAGCTATTAGTGGGACCGCAGTTAATTCTGGGGGAAAGAAACAAGCAACAAAAGCAATAAAACTGATGGATAGCCTATGCAGATAGAGTAACCCTTTCCCAGCTGGGCTCTGTGGCATGGCAGCCCACCTGAAGTGAGGATGCTCGCTGGAGAAACCCCTCTTTTCCAGATTTTCCATAGCCTCTTGTTAGGACCATAGCTCTCTAGGAGAGATACAAGAAGAAGGCCACGACAAGGTGGGGACAAGGGGGTGCGCAGAGGAACACAGGGCGCAATTCCTGGCTATTGCTTTATAACCAGCATGCAGGAAGACAGAAAGCTTAGCAGTGAGAGGTACAGGGAATGACAGATGCATGGCAAGTCCGGCTCTGGGTAGGAACTGCATTTCCTCCAGTAGGAAGGAACATCTCCCTGCTGATTCTTCCTCCATACAGCATGCTAGATGCATGCCATCAGCACTGGAAGGTGACTATCTAGGGTTTTGCTTTCTAAAGCACTTGAACATCTGCAGGTGCTTGGATAAGAGCTCAGCAGCTACTGTAATGGCAATGCTGAAGGAAGCTCAGGAGATAGCAGAGCCTGGCTGAGTGCATGCTATCCAGATCAGTACACATAGGAGATCCCCCCAGATAACAGCTACCTGGGGAGCAGCTGAGAGGACATCAAGAGAGAGGTTCTGCAGCAAAACTCAGCAACTAAAAAGCAAAGCCAATGTGGATGGAAGGTTCTGCAAGCTGGTGGTGTCATAATTTAGGACATGATACTGCCTATTAAAGTAGCAGAAAAAAATAAAATTATATTTGCTCCATCTACAGGCCTACAAATGTAATGTCACAGAAGGCCACAACAGTTGTAGAGACGTGTGCCTCTCTTCTCACAAAATACCAAACAATGAGATACAACGGACCCAAAACAACGCAACCAACAAGAGACTGGCTCTGGCTTTCCTCCCAGAACCATCAGTTTTGTCAAAAAGTCATCTGTACAGCCAGCCCCTCATTTCTAAAGCTGTACAGATGCAGAGAACATCATCTTTCCAACCAACTGACCTCCGAGTCCAGGCCTTAGGCGGTTGTCATAGCCATCCAACAGCCTGTCCAGGATGCGCGTGAAAATGGTGATGTTGTCTTTGCTGTCATCGACGACGTCTGAAACATGCTTCTGAGAAAGCCTGGTGTGTTTGGGGAAAAGAGGAGAGAGGAAAAAAGCCACAATCAGAACAGAAATACTCTTTATACATTCTAAGTATGGAAATGAAAGGACACTTATCCATGTCCCAGCCCAACTAGGAGTACCCTGTGCTGGTGTCCCTCTCCTGCCCCTATGAAAGGCAGTTGGAGGAACAGAGCTTCTGGGAATCTGAGGGTTATTCAAGTGCTGTCTTCTCCTTGTGGGAGCACGCAGCAAGTGCTGCCAGTTATTTACCACATCAGCCCATTTCCAAGCGTTCTTCCCTGGGAAAAGGAAAGAGGGGCAGAAAAATAGGAAATCAGTAAAGCAGGCTGGGAGGCTGAGTCTGCCATTAAAACCCTATGTGAGCCATTTCTGCAGTTTGTTGAACTTTCCCTGTTTATAAAATCAAATGAGTTTTCATGCTCCTATCTCCGCTCAATGCAAGAAGCCTAGGAGCCCCAAATAAGATGATTTCCTTGGGGCATTTTCTGCCCCAGGTGGAGCAAAATAAGCAGCACATTTCTCAAACAACACTCATATCACCAAACAAAATATCCAGCGCAATTCCGCAAGCCCAAGGGGCTCAAATCGCACATTTGCATTTTGCGTCTCCCTTTCAATCAACAGAAAGAAGCCTACGAATCCTCACAAAACCAGCTGCTTCAAAGATTTTAAACAGCACAGGGTATCTGTCAGTGCTGAAGTTCCAAGCACAGCTTTTCCCAGCAGAAATAACTGGTAGGAACAAAACTAATGGAAAGGCAGAAGACTAAGAAACAGAAAACAAAACAAAACTCAGTAGAGATGCTGAGAATGCAGGAAAGATGGAGAAGGGAATAAAAATACTAAAGAATAAAAATAAAAAAATAAGGGACGTGGCATAACACTGGAGAAAGCCCAACAAACTCCTCCTAGGTGCAAAGCATAGGGAAGGTCAATGCCATCAAACCAGTGCTCTAGAATTCTGTTCAGGAGGTGGGAGCAGCCCCAGAGAGCAGCGCAGGGCTCACTCAGCCCATCAAGCTCTGCTCAGCTCACGGGGTGCAGCCATGGCTTCGCTATGAGCACAGAAATGAAGTGCAAGGATTGAGAAATCATTATGAAGAGGAATGGAAAAAGAAAAAAAAAAGGAAGAGGAAGCGGAAGGGTGCAATATCAGTGAAGCTGTTCAAAGCATAATCCTGCAGCATCCCGTCTGGTTAGATGAGCCACCTCTGACGTTATGAGTCCACTTGTAAAGATTCTAGGAAGGGTCGAGAGGGTGACAAGTAGCAGAGCTGCTGGGAGTTTTGTACCAAAATGATTCCCCAACACAAAGTCCCTTTCCTGTAAGATAAAGGAATAATAAAATCTGATTTCTACCAAAAAAAAAAAAGAGCAAGTACTGTTGTAGTTATTTTTAGAGAGAGGCTGAATCGATGTTATTCAGCATGTCGCCGTTAATTGAAATATCTCATTTTGAGCAATTTTGACATTAATCTGTCTGCATCAGTGACCAAAGACAGTGGGAAATTGGCTTTCAAGTACTTGTGGTTTGTTTCTCCAGGGATCAGATCTCACATCTCACAAGGGCTCTTGGTCTCTGATTTGTAGTGAACCAATACCAGCTCTTATGGGAGCAGTGGTCAAGGCAGGAAGCTCAGCCTCCAGCAGCTGCACGAAGCCATGAAGCACTTGAGATGCATCCCTCAGCCCCATGCAACATCACAATGCTGAAACAGCAAAACCCCTCAGCATCTCAGCCTTTAATACTTATCTGAACCAAAACAGTGGTTCTGGTTTTCACCTGGACTTAAGCACAAAGGAAATCTGAAATACCTGCACTCCCCCAAGTCGAGGGGATTTTGAGGAATTTAACAAATGCCTGCTGTAATTAGCAAGGTTTCAATTGTGCCAGCTTTCACTGGATGTCACAGTTAAAAGCAATCTGTAACCATGTCTGCTGATGGGTATATAACCATCTATAACTTATGAATAGCTAGCACGCTCGTGAAAGCTCATTCATTAATGTTTTATAAGCTATCTTTAAAAATTACCCATAATATAAAGAGCGAGAGGACAGATTTTTGTGAAAGAACTCCTGACAGAGACTCAGTAGCAATGGGAAAAAATGAGTTTACAGATTTCAAAATGGTTTTACTTAGGCTGACATTTGAGGTTTTGACTTCAACGTGAGCTGTATAGGATCTACTTGGAAGGCACCAGGGGAGTGGCACGGGCAGGGGGGGAAAATGCAGAGCCAGTGCAACACTCCAAGGAGGGATGAATTAAAAGCCTTTAGGCAGGGAAGACAGCTATACAGCACATTTAATTAGGAGAGGCTGGGGAAAAAAGTCATTACATCCCCACTGGAACTAGATTGGCTTAAGATCCCTTCCAACCTCAGCCATTCTATGAGTCTATGATCCTACGTGCACAGTTCTCCCTACATCGTGAACAGCCAAACTGCTGAAGCAGTATTGTTTTCTAGATTGCTTGTTTTTAAAGAGTATTTTAAAAAATCAGAGCTGGAAAGAGGTGCGTGTGTCATTTTCAGGTTAAAAATCATCCAAGCACACTCCTCACCCAAAGTTGAAATGCAGAAAGGCTATGTTTGAAAACTGGTTTTGTTGCAAAAGATGCTGACAACCGTCCTTAGCAAGAACAGCTCAACTAGTGTTAATGTAATCAGTCAGCTCAGCTGTGCAAGACTGAGCAGTCACTGGGTGAAAGGCACAGGGGCTGAGAGCAGAGGCACTGGCAGCAGTCACTGCTGTTGTGTTACATGCCTACAAAGGCTGCCCAGGAGCACAACCATAGAAACGGCAGAGAATCTTTTCAGGATTATGCCCTGAACTGCTTCATGCAGGTATCAGCACAGGTATATTGAAGCACTGAGAAAGAACAGCAGCCTTGGCCAAAGGCCTTGCCTCTTGCCACCTTACCCAGCATCAGCAGGGACAGCTGACAGCAGGAGTCCAAGGGCAGCAAGAGAGAGAGATGCCATTCCAGTGAGCCGCGGTGCCATGGCCTCAGTGCACAGCGAGCAGCAAGCGAGCCTCCAAAACCTGCCATGGGGGCACAGAAGAGAGAAGATTTAATTTACTAGGAGGAAAGCAATTGATTTGGTTCCATTTTTTTCCCAGTGGTTCATCCATGTCAGCCATTATACTCTTTCTGGAGTGTCACATTTGTTGGACCAGAGGCAGCACTGTAGGGTCAGAGCCAGGAATGTACGTACACATATACATGTTCATTGAGCATCCAGCAGCCCCTCAGGTGCTTTGATCCCTCCCAGTCATTGCACAGTTCCATTTCCAAAGTGATCACACTGCTTCTTGCACCCATCCTTTCCTTCTCCTCATCTCTCATGCTCAGGCATCACCCGGCAGCAGCTCCCCCAACTCATGCTGCCCAGGGACACCCACAAGTCTCAAAACCCATTTTTTTCTCTTTCTAATGTCTTTCTGGACAGTTAGACACTCATTTAATTCTGCTAACGACATCACCAGAAATCATCATAAACTTAGGGTACCAGGGCCTGAGGTGGTGGGAGTGTTCAACTGTACCACACTAAGCGTGCTCAGATTTTTTCATTAATGTTCAGTTTTATGTTTATTGTGACGCAATTACACATTTAACTGCCTTTCCCCTTTTATGTATCTCATTATGTTGATGCACCTCAGAACAGTAATGCCAAGCAACAGCCAGGATAAATACAGCTTGTCATGACGTCTGCCCCCCGACAGACAGCTCCTGCCTGGCACACACGGGCGGCTTGGTGCTGCATCAGCCGGGCACAGCCACGAGCCCAGAGCCACAGCCAGGGACTCCTTTTGACCACAGCCTTGCATGGAGCATATTTCACATGTTACCTTTGTCTTCCTCCCCATTACTCATTTGAAGCCTCTGCCTCAGCGCATGGATTGATGTTGTGCAGCTGAAAGTTTGGCTGTAGGTTCAGGGCCTTATTCAAGTGGAAGGCTACCAAGTGGAGCACAACCCTCCCACTAACATTAAGCAAACACTCTGGGGGAAGCTGTCCTGGCACGGGCACACCTGCACCATCATAGGCAATGAGCCCTGCTTTGAAATCAATCTTCTGACTCCTGCCACCCTATAGCTGAGCAGGGACACAGGTTGGATTTCAAGTATTTGCTGATGAAGTACAAATTAGGGAATGAACATCTGCTCTGTGGGAAACTCCATCAGTTTGGGGAAGCTTGTTCCAAAACAGAACAAGGACAGCTAAAGTGTTGATGTTTCTTACAAGGCAAATTCAGAACTCCTTCAATTAGCAGCTCCTCAACAGATTTCCTTTCAATTCTCTTTAACTTGAAGATTATACAATAGGATTTAATTTTTTTTTTTTTTTCCCTAAGACAACTTCAATCACCAGCCAAAAGCAAAAACCCACTGCTGGCTTCCCTCTCCCTTCCCCACATCACCACTAAAGAAATCTTATTGAAATCGCTTTCCCATTCAACAGATTTCAATGAACTGTTTGTTTTGGCAGAATTTGCACTGCCAGCATTTTTAACCAGTGCTATCCACGTGAATCAGGACCATCCCATTTCACAGCAGATGCTTCACAGCTTTGCAGGAACTCCTGGATTTGGTGAGACCACAGGCTGGAAGATGATGCACCTAGACTGGGACAGGGCAGCTGAAGTAATTCAGGAAAAGATAAGGCCAGAAGAAGCGATAAAAGCTACCTGATGGCTGTCTGAACCAAGAAATTCAAGACAACCACATTTCCACTTGTTCATGCAGTTTTCCTTACATGGGAGATGAATGGTCAATTCTGTACTTTGGATTGCTCCGCTAAAGGTGCTAGCTAAGGATAGCAGGGCTTCCTGAATGAAGTTAAATACATGCTCAAGACTCATTTTAAGGATCAGAAACCGCTCTGCACACCTGTGTTAAGAGAATATCTGTCCTCACCAGCCCCCTGTTCTGAGAGCTCAGTGTTCTAGCACCCAGGATGCCCCTGAGATAGGGCATGAGAGCACATGCATGGCTGGTTCACTGAGAAGGCTCTTATGGGCTCAGGAAGGACTGCACAGCATGGGAAATAGCTTGGCACTGTTTTCTAACTCTCTCTGTTTGTTCTTGTTTCATGTTTTGCCTGAGGGATTTGGACAGAAGAGACTATGCTGCATTTTCCTTACTCTTTGGCTCTGTTACACTTCTTAGACATGGACTGCAAAGCAGACCCAGTCTGAAAGATCGTGGTTGGTATTCCTGACTGACAGAGGGGCTGCTGGTGGTGAACCCTGGTGGCCTCAAGATGCTGAGCCAAGCAGTACTGGGGCAGACACAGAAGGAGCAGTCTCCTTCCAGCTCCGGTGTTCATCACCCCATTGCCAGGCAAGGACTGCATCTCTGAAGAACGCAAGGAAACCTCAGCAGAGGATGTCTTCACTCCTCCTTCCCCTAAAATGTACAGTTTTAAATAGTGCTTAGCCAGAGCCCAGTTGATCCCCATGGCACAGCAGCTCCCAGCATCTTCTCTATGAGCATGGGAAGTGCTTAAGCAGCTCTGCACTTCCTTCCTCCATCTGCCCATGGCTCATTTCTTAATGGCACGCTTAGCAAACACATTCATCACTAATTCTGCAGTTGCTGGTAACCTCCACAGCTGAATCAAATGCAGATTTTCTAAGGAGCCCCGCTAACATTTTGCAGCTGGGATTCGGCAATACTTAAAGTACAATTCAGTGCACTCGGGGTTTTGGCAGGTTTCTTTATAGCCAGATACCTAAAGGCATCATAAATATGCCCACTCCTCTCCAACACATGCTGCGTGCCCAATCTCCAGAGCACCATAGCAAAACAACACTCCCAAGAAACAGAGCTTTCCTGCTGGATATGCAGTTTTGGAAGGAGAAATTGGAAAAGCTTCCCTCTCCCCAAGACAGTGATACATTGGTTCCTCCTGTGATGAGATTTGGGAACCAATGGGTTCTGGCACCTTTTGGATCAGCAGGATCTCCATGTAGCTACGTTAACGATGGGGATCTCCTGACTCTGCATGCTGGGCCTAATCTTTCAAGCACTCCTTATCGTAGAAGCCATTAAGTATTCTGAAATTCTTTCCTAGGAAATTATGATTAGCACAGGTTTCATGCTGACAAGGGAAAGAGCTCTGGAGGTGGAGAATGAAAGGTACAGCTTGCAAAAAACCTTGGGAGAACAACTCAGGGAGGGAGAATGCAAGCAAAGGAGAGCAAATAGAGAGTGAAGAGCCCTGCAAAACCACACAGGTACATTTCCAAGAGTCACACTGGCATCTTCCTCAAATTACCACCTCCTTGAAACACACACAGCCAAGGGAGCAATTTGATTCACTTAGCCAGGCTCGTCATGCAGGTGGCACTGATGAAGCAGCAGCCCATAGGACACATCTGCCCACCATTACCACACCAAGAGTCTTGGTGTACCTGCAGTGTCACTGAGCTGCCGTGCCCATGTGCCACATACCTTTATCAGTCGCATCAGCTGGAGGAGTGCTGAGCACTGCAGCTCCCACTCTGTCCACAGCCCCCAGGACCTGCAGCTGCTCTGCATCTCTGCCAAATCAGGTATCTCAGGGGGTATGTGCAAAGAGGAGCTACTGCTGGGAAGCCAGCTGGAAAAGAGGCTGGGAAGCAGAGGCATCCATAATCCAAAGGCTCAGATAGAAACACTCCCACATTGGGGGAAAAGTGTTATCTCAACCCGGCTGGTGCCGAGCACATCCACCACCTGCACAGTAGCACAGCCAAGCACTGCAGGTGACCTCACAACAACTGCATATTTATCTCCAGATCAGGTGCATTCACACAGCACAAGTGGCTCCTCAGAGCCCTTCTTTATTGCCTTGAAGCCTTTCAAACCAGGTCCCAGTCATCAGGAGAGGTCCTCTGACATTCCTCAAAAATCGCAGAGCTGTTCAGACGTAACAGCTGGCCACAATCCTCTGCAACACACCAGCCTTGCGGTCATCACTGCTGTGGGGAAGGCTTGGAGCTCTCTGCAGGGATGGGCAGCCAGTGAGCACACGGTGCAGCAGCAATAAAGGCAGATGATACACATGCTGCCTTGTGTCCCCGGCTGGGAAGGTTTCACTTCAATTCTCAATAGCTTCAGTGAAAAAGAAGAGTTTCTTTGAATAAAACTATTTTTGGGGGAGATGCAGGGGTTGCAGTGGGCAGACATTGTTTGTCTGGGAGCCTGGAAATAATGGAGTAAGCGTGATGCTTCACAAGACTCTTGTCTGACAGGCTCCCTGCTATGAGATGAGCTAACCAGGAGGCACACACACCCTGCACAGCACAGACACCAAGCCAGCATGCACTGGAAGCACTCCAGCCCCACCAGCACCACTCCACCTGTACCAGCGAGCACAGGGAAGGCTGTCTGTCAGCCTGGACCAACGGGAGTGCTCTGCTTCCATCATCTAACATAGCCCAGATTTCTGACTTGGCTCTCTGCTTAGCTCTGCTTTGTGCTAAATAGATGCTGCCAGAAGCCCAACAGCTACCAGAGCATTTATAAGGATCAGAAAACAAGGAGAAGGCAGCAGTACCCCTGCCTACCTGAATCAAACTTGCTGTTTACCATCTCAGAGGAACAGCTCTGGCTCACAGCAAGCTGCACACAGCAGAGGAACCACAGTTTTCAGCTCAGACATGAAACCGTTTGTGCTTTCCACCCGAGAGGAGCGCATTGAGCAGTCCCTATCAATGCACACCCCGCACAGGCCATAAACAACCTTCCCATCAATCTGCCATGCAAGGTACTAGGAACACGTGATGGTTACCAAATGCGATGTCTGCGGCTCTGCAAGAGACACCAGCATAATGGGACACTTGAAACCAGAGGCACAAGGGAAGGAAATTTAAAGGTTCAGATTAACGCAGATCGCAAAAGCAAGCGTTGATCTGGGTCCCTGCTGCAGAAGGCTGGTGATGGAGTTGAGTGAGCTCCATGTCCAACTCCCAGCTTAGCTTTAATTTTTCAAAACAAGGAGCTGCCTGACAGTTTCTCATCAAAACAAAACTAATCTCAGTTTTGCAGTTCTCCACTTGAAAACACATCCAGAGGGACTGTAGAGTGATTCACACCCACAGCCGCTACAGGAAACCGCTTGCACTCACAAGTGTAACAAGCCAACACTGATTCACCCACACAATTACAGGCAGACACTGATTCACGGCTACTGCAACTGCAGACAGACTGACTCACAATCAGAGCAACTGCAGACAGACGGGCTCAGAGCACTACTGGAAATACAACTGTGCTGACAATGCCCACAGTCAGCATTCACACTGTACATACACAAATCCTTGGGAAACCAGCCAGCACCCCAACCAAGCAGCCAGCCAACCCCGTGCTCCTGACCTTCACCCCACAGCCATCTTTCCTTACTGATGGAACAATAACCACAGCTCAGCAGTTGCTCCTTCCCTGACTTCATGCTTGCCCAGCACTATTCTCACAGCCCGCACCAGGAGCAGAGATGTACGATGCACATTCAGACACGTAATGTGTAGATGGGAAATTTATATGGCAATACCATATATGTGCACTGACTGCACTGACTTTATTTCCAGAATATAAGTAAAAGCAGCCAAGTAGAATACATTCACCCCTGGGCTAAAGGAGATGGCAAAAGACTCTCCACTGGGCACAAGCTTGAAAGCAGGATTATTTACTACACTCTGGCTGGGTATGTAATTATGTCAGTATTCAGCCTGGGTATTGTGCTACTTTTTGTAAACAGTTGGCAGGAATACTCCTACTGAGATGAGGAGCTGGGCTTCTTCTATAGTGTTGAGAGGGAGCAGAGTGAAGAGGAAGAGGTCTGTTTAGTGAAAAAGAAACCAAGGTGAAAGAATGAATTAAGCAGAAAAAGGCAAAGGGGAAGCTGACAGTGAAGTGGGATAGGTGGCAGCTTCAAACAAAGAAGAAAGGAGAGGAGAAAACAGGAGGAGGAAAGCTGCTTGATGCAGAGTGCTGATAAAAGCTCCAAAAGCAAAAGCAGCAGCCCCCCAGTGCAGCGGTGCAGCAAATGCATGTGTGCATACCCACAGCACTGAGCGCTGCTATGAACTGGGAGGAGATCGAATGGAAAGGGATGCAGCCCCCAGCCAAGCGTGTGCCACAGGGCCCAGGTGCAGCCACAACCACCCCAGCTGCTCCCATCTCTGGATGTAAGCAGGAGCGGCACGTTTGCGTTCTCCTTGCACTGCACTTGTGTGCACACGTTGCAGGGCAGACAGCCACCACAGACACTGGCGGAAGGGCAGCAGACAGAGCTCCATCCTCCGCAACAGCATCTTCTCAAAACAGTCTGAGATCTTTTATCCATTGGGATAAAGAGAGTTAAAAGACAGACTACAGAAAAAAGAGGACTTGCCCGAAGCACACGCAGCATCTCGTATTGCAGGCTGCTCCTGCCTCACCACCTGTTATTTTTCTTCTTCTCACTCAGTGCAAGGATTGAGAGGTGAGGGAACAAACCTGCGCCGCTGCCACTGTCAGAGCTCCTCAGGTGAGTAGGGACCAGAGCTGCTCCCACCAACCAGCCCATGGCAGCAGCAGCCTCAAAGAGGGTCCCAGATCCCCCTCTCTGCCTGAGGACTCTGCTGCAAATACAGGTAGCCTGAAGGTTCAGGAGAGACTGTGGCTGCAACCGGCCAGGGAAATGAATTATTTCCTCAATTATACTCCCCTCATCCAGACCAGAATCATTCTGGCAGAAGGCAAAGCAGGGAACAATGGATAAACGTTGCAGTGAGAACTGTCTAATGTATAATTGCATTACGCTACTCCTTTTAAATGATCCATATCTCAGTCCCATTAATTTGCAGGAGGAGGATCTGGAGTCTTTTTCCCTTCCCTCCTATAGTGTTCTCAGAGACCACTCCACTCCTTCCCTTTCTTCCTCATCCCAATCCCAACTCAGCATCGATGCCCATTAGGCCTGGCTATGGGATTCAGGGGGAAATTTGACTTTGCTTTACTACGTTGTTCTCTCTGTTCAGCCCTTCCCCTGTATATGCCGTCCGGCTCCAGGACCCGGGCTCATCTCGTTCTCTTTCAGGCATTTGCTCTCTCCCCGTTCCCCGCACGGGTGGGCCGGGCCGGAGGTCCCCCGCACAGCTCGGGCTGCCGCTCTGCTCCTGACGAACGTGCTCCGGAGTTGCTGCGGCATCAAGGATGCTCCCTCTCAACGCCCCGTCCTCTTCCTTTCTCCCCCCACCGCTCACCGGCCGACAGACAATAGCCAGGGGTGCAGCCCCTCCCCGCACGCCCATCTCCACGCCCGGCGAGGGATACCCACCCAACAAAACGGGGACCCCCGCGGAGCACTCACCGCCGCGCCGGCTGCCCCAGACGGGGGGGGGAGGAGGGGGGCCGGAGCCCGCACCGCTCCGCGGCCCCGAGCCCGCCGTGCCCGGGCTGCCAGCCGCCGCCTGCGCGATCCTCCGGCCGCGGCGAGGGAGGGAGAGAGGGAGGGAGGGAAGCAGCATCCCCCCGCCTTCCTCCTCCTCCTCCTCCCCGCGGCCCGGAGGAGGGTTTAACCACCCGCTTCGCGCGGATCGGAACGGGAGGCAGCTCCCTTACCCCGCCGCCCTCCCTGCCCCAAGCGATATCACAGCCCTCCGCTGAAGCCCAGCATCCTTTCCGTAGCGCCGGACGAGGGGAGCACAGCGGGCTGCTCCCAGCACCTACCTGTTGAAGTGTGGGCGCTCCCCGAGGCGCTGAGGCTCTGCAAGGAGGCAGCCGGCACCCCGAAGGGTGCTGTACCCCGAACCCTATCAGGCTGCTGCCTCGTCCCCCGCAAGGCCCAAATCCTGGCAGGAAAGTTGGGACTGCAACTTGGAATTGCCGGAGGTTTATATTGCAATAAAACGGCACGCAGAGGAAAACAAACGCAGAGGAAGGGCGGGAGGAGGAAGACAGGTTCAGATGCTCCGAGGAGTAGGCAGTAAAAGCAAGGACGAAGTGGCGGTGAGGGGATCCCAGAGGAAGCGCGATGCCAGACAAAGCAATGCAGGACGCACCGGCCAGAGCCAGCTGGGATCAGGAGGCTCTGCAGAGCCCCACAGCTGAAGCTGGGCAGACAACAGCTGACAGTAAGGCGCACTCAAAATATATTGTCCCTGCAGAGCTCTCCTTGTGGAACACTCTGCAGGACTCAGCCGCAGCTGTGACTTTGTGGCACATAACCACTGCTCTGCCAGTGAGGGTCTGGGATGAGGAAGGACGATAACCATAAGTATCACTCCCTTCTCAAAAATACCTTTGAGCACTAAAAATGTTGTGGCAAGAATCTGAAGGAGAGCATGTAAACAGTTAAATCCAGTCCAAGTATCAGTTCTCTGCATTTCCATAGCCCAATCCTTGCTTCCCAGAAGAATCTAAAGCATTACTCAAGAAAAGAGTGAGATATGTGTGCAGCCAGTAGAGAACCTTTATATTTTTTCCTTTCCCACAACTGTGGGAAAACATAGGAAAATTCACATTGGAAGAGATTTCAGATCATCGAATCCCATCTCCCACTCAAAGCACACAGAAGAGTCCAGGGAACAACAAAAGCCAGCCATACTTATTGACACCAAGTTTCTGCTTACTTCAGAATTTCTTCCACAGCACATCTCCTTCTGTTCCTAATTTATACGCTTGTAAATAAGTGTTGGCAAGGGAACAGGAGAGAGCGCAGCAGGAGGCCCAACACACAGAGAAGTAAGAGTCCTGAAGACTTGAGCTACGACCTTCCCATGGGGAAGTGACACTCCATGGGAAAACACTGTTGTGAACCATTCCCAGGGGTAGGGCAACGCACAGGACCCTGATAACTCAGGAGCATTGATTCCCTATAGGATCAGAGCAGAGGAGGCCCTCATGCTTGTTCTTCCTCCTTTCCAAACTGACTCAGCTGTTGGCAAGAGCTGCCTTGGGTAGAAGAAGAGTCATGAAACACAATCAGCAAGACGAGCATATCCGGAGACAAGTGACTCAAGACCTAAATGGCTCATATTGAAGAACATTCCAAGATTTATAGGCTTAAGTAGCGCTAACAATAGTCTCAGGCAACAGAGAATGTGGTTCTCTTGAGGCCTGTTCATCCATAAGCAACAGCAATACAGACTTCCCCAGGAACAGCATAGCTCACTCCACTCCCAGGTGCCTTCTTGGCTCACTGAGAGGTCTCCTCTGCCACTGCCAGCAGCCTGAAATAGTCTTGGGCATGAAGCTCTTTATTGAAAAAGTTTTCCTAACAAGTCCAAAATTATACAAAATCCCTCCCTTTGCAGCCATAACATGTAGTAGACTCCCTTTGTAAAAGGAGGGGAAGTGGCCATAACTGGGGTCAGACAGAAAGGCTGCTGCTTACCCCGAGGAGCACCATATTGACATACTCCTCCCCAAAAGGGCTGGAAGGGGAATCTCTCCTCCCTTCACCCCTTTCCCTCTCAGAGACAGAAAGAAGCACAAACTGAAGGATGTTGTCACATGAGCAGTGACAGCTGTCAGCACTGCAAAAGGTACCCCACCTAAAGCCACTATAAGTGAGAAGGAGGTCAGTGGATGTGCACACTGCACCCTTCTCATCCTTCCAGATGCGCTGGATCCAGGTCATATCACACTCAGACCTTTGGCAGAGCAGGAACCTGTGCCCCACAGCAAGGTCTACCACCAGCCAACCAAGCAGCAGTAATCAGAATCTCTACCAGCCAAGTCACAGACACCACTCCTCCTGGAAAGGCTCCAAAGCCTTGCATGATTTGTGCCCCTTAAGGGCTGGCCAGCCCTCCTTGCAATAGGGATATCAAAGGAAGCCCCAATTCTAACGGAAGAAATAGACCTCTTTCATCCTAGCAAGTGAAGATTCCAACTAATCATAGAGAAGGAGAGTGCTCCTGTCATCTGGATAGGGACATAAAGACACAAGGGTCTTCAGCAGAAGCACATGATAACTGTAATCAACAGGGGAGCTGAGACTCTGGCGAGGGGAGAAGGCATTAACCAGCTCAGGAAGCCCTGCTTTAGGAAACCTTTTCTGAAAGAGAAGGCAATGTTATCAATAGCTGCTCATAGTCAGCCAGAATCATCTTGACCTTTGCTCTGTTTGGAAGAATACAGCCCTACCCTAAAAATCAGTCTCTGTAGATAACATCCATCTATTTCAGAGGCATAAAAACATCATGTGAGACCTGTGATCAATTATCTTTTAATGCATCCCTCCATCATAAAGCTTTATATCCTTCTTAAAATATACTACTGAAAAAAACCCTCTCCTTTACTTGTTGAAATGCTTACCTGAACTCTGGCACACTCCAGAATGAGATGGCATTGAGGCAAAACCCTTTTTATGATGATCAAGGTTAAACTTTCAGGCTGTCACCATATTACTGAAGAGTAATCTCTCAAAATGGAAGTACAGCAGCCTGGGAATATCTTGCTTATAATTAGCTAAGCCTTTCACTTCTGCCACCCTGTTCAACCAGCCAGAATAGAAGTGTGCTTAGTTATAGATCTATACTACAGTGCCCTTGCACTGAGAGGGATTGCAGATTTAATAACTGCTGGCCTAGTGAAGCATTTAGACTGGATGGTCCTTTCTGAAGGTACAGGCTGGATCACGGGATTAGGGATGTGCAGCACAGGTCTTGCACATCCAAGCTCTTTGAAGCAAGCTTGTGCCATCCGCATTCATTCCAGCTGACACCCAGATCCAGCACTCAAGGGAGCTGCAGCTCCTACATAGCAGCAGTCAGGGTACAGCACTGATCCAAGGAACACCAAAGGGCAGAAGCAGTGTGTTGATGGAGATGTGACCCAGTGACATGTGGCTCCCCAGAGTTGTTGGGTGCTGGAAACCTGCTCTGAGGCTGAAGGCTCATCAGCACTAGGAGAGTATTCCAGTCAGAGTGGTTCTTGCATGCAGGCACCCACTTTGGCATGGGGCAAGTCCCATTTTCTCTACAAACAATCTAGCCATGAGCGTGGCCACAAAAGTCTGTTGCACCAGTCCTGCACTGGGTGGCCTCTGCAAGCTGACACCCCCACTCATCCTCTCTGAGGCCCTCTGAGCTGCTGAGAAAGAAACCAACCTGCATACAGTAAGCAAACAAGTAGCTAATGCAAAAACAGGAGATGCTCCACGATGCACACAGGCCCAGCTCCTTCATCAAAGGCTGCCGCTTACCCCGAAAAGCACCATGTTGACATACTCCTCCCAAAAAGGGCTGGAAGAAGAATCTCTTCTCCCTTCACCCCTTTCCCTCTCAGAGCATCCAGGGCCATCTCAAAAACCCAACTCCTGTCCCACTCTCCTGGTGCTCACCCTCCATCCCCACCATACCAGCTGCTCCTTCTCTCCACCCACCTGCTCCTTGCACCCGTAGCAGGGCTTCCATCGTCAGAGCCGGCTGCTGCCTGGTGCTTTATTAGCCTGTCTCCATGGCAACTCGCCTACAGCTTAACTCTGAGAGACCCCTATCTCACCACGGCCATAAATCAGCCACCTGCCTGCAACCTCGGTCAGAGATGGGGGTCACGGCTCATCCTGCACACCGCTGGCAGCTTTGCGACTGCCATCCCAACCTTCAGGGCTGTCCAACACAGACAGAGTGCTGTGCACCACACTGCAGCCCTCAAGCAGAGTCTAGCAGCAACACAAAGGAACAGAACTAAAATGATGTTGGTTTTCCCAGTGCGCAGGCAAACTGGAGCCACCCGTACAAAGTCTTCCTCCTTTGTAAAGGGAGAAGAGCCTGGGGTTGCTGCTGCAGTAATGCAGAACTTCAGTCTTAAGCAGTGTGCAGGAAGGGCTGCACCACTGGCCAGAACCTAGCAAGCAGACACAGCACCGGGCTGAGGTAGAAAGGTAACAACTTTCTCCATGGTAAGCAATCCTCCTCCCTTCCCCACTCCAGCACGTCCACAGTGAAGCTCCTGAAGGGGACAAAAGCCACCTAAAGCATTCTGCTCTCCCTGATGCCTCAGAAACACTAAGAACAATCTTTCCCCCAGCACAGTGTAAAGTGGTAGCCCTCTTCAAAGCTTTATTTCAGCAGGACTGCCCTCTGGGTACCGCTTTACCAGTAATCCCATTGGCTGGCATCTCCTGTGCTGGGTGGTTGGAAGCAGGTGGAGCTAAAAACCTTCTGGTTCCTATAGGAAACAAACTTTCCCACACTAAAAGTCTCCTACCCTAAATCTCAGGGTTTGTGAAAGGAGACAGCTTTATCTTTATATTCCACAACATACATTATGTAGTCTGTCACTTCATGCATACACTTCAAGAACTCAATGGTGGGGCTTAACCTTGGAATCAAATGCCAAGGTGGCTCCCACCACCAGGAGTGCAGTCTCCATAAACCTGGCAAAGCAGTCAAGAAGGGAAGCACCGCCTGTAGAAGGTGTTGGTGCATTGCAGCAGTGTGCAGGAGGGAAACAGGAGGGCAATGGGCCAGGGCATAGCTTTCAGATGGTTCACTTGAGATCCGAGGCAAGCCATGACTGAGCATGGGAGTGTGGAAAGGTTGAGGAAAATTACCTTTGCTTTTCCTAGACCTGAAAGGTGCTGATCTACATGCAATGCCAAGGGATGCCCAAGGTGCTACACAACACTACAGCATCACATAATCCTTGCTGCTTCAGATAACAACCCCAGTGTATCTGGAGTTTTACCATATTCAAACACGTACAATAAAATCCACATGGCCATTGGGATGGCTATATCTCCGTCTTACATAGATGCTCAGCTCATACATCCACCCAACAACTCAAAGAGCTAAAAAGCTTCCTACACGCCATTGCTGAGCTCCAGGTCTGTGCCCCCGGATGCTGTAAGAGCAAAGAGCAGGAGCCTTGTTTCTCTGACAGAATGCATCCATCCAAAAATCCAGAAGGCAGACCCAGCTACATGGAGAAGCACCAGAGCTCTTTTAGGAGGGCTAGCTCATCGCCTTGAATTTCAAGAAATATAAGCTGGCAGTAGAACAAATTCATAAAAACTAATGGGCCTGAAAGAAACTGTATTTGTCCTGCAGTCCCTTGGCAAGGGCAAAACTGAACCTGGAGAGAAAGACCTAGACACAGGCACATCTCTTTTGCAGTTACAATAGCAGCATCAGTTCAAAAAACCCCCTGTGGAGTCGTGAGGTTTTAGATGCTTCAGCATTTCTATTTCTAACATTGTGTATGCCTGTGAAATCCAAATATGCTTAAGCAATTTAGGTGCATAACGCTAATAAATCAACTGCATAGGAAGGCTGGTTTTAGGGAGGACTGGCTTTAGGATGGCTGCTGGCTTGCTTTTCTGATCTGGGATCCTTCTGGGCCCCAGAAAACTGAACTTATTTTGTGTGGAGAGTGACATGACACTAAGCCAAAACCAGGAGCTTGAAACAGAGCCAAACAACAGGAGATTCACACTAAATTGCAGGAGTTGACAGCATTAGCCAAAGTCTCAGGAAAATGCCATATGCTCAAATTACACAGAATGTTATCCCATGTCCTACCTTCCCTCTAAACACCTTCCTCAGCTTTCTATGCCAGATTGAGTCTCTCCTTTTAAAGAAACTGGTCTCATCACAGCTTAATGAAACTGAGCCCTTTTCATAGTTGTACACCAAACAGCAGCAAAACTCCTGGCCCAAAGATGTGGCTGAGCTTTGGGCACCAAGACCATAAATTCCAAGGGAAGTATCAATTCTGACGTAATCCAGAACTTACTGCATTAGAGATTGGCTGTACTTTCATTGAAGCAGCAATTCTAGGATCCTCTCCATCAGGCAGGATAGTTAGCCACACAACTCTGTTGTAGATGGAGTCTGTCAGCAGGAGAGAAGTTCCTAAAGACGCTTCCTAAAGACATCAGCTGAATCTTCTGCTTTAACAAGGATTCTAAATGCCACTGCAGTGCATGTGCTATGGTGCCTGAAAGGTTTAATATCTTGCCATGTTTGGTAAACTTTATGAGGACTGCAGGAAGCTGAAGAACAGGAGACTGCCTAATAGTGAGTGGATCTCATCAACACTAATTAGCTGAAACAAAACAGCAGAGACTCAGGTAATAAGAGCTCTTCATGAGATTAAGGTGAGTGGTGGCTGCAGGAGACAGGACACTCCAATCTCTGCCTCCTGGAGCAGCCCCCTAGGAAGCAACATTGAGCCAGAGCTCACTTAATGAGAGAAGGAGCTGCTTAGAAAGGTTTGTGATAACCTCTTGGCAAGCAGTGAAGCAACCAAAAAAGGGACAGCTCCAGCCCCAGGCATGCCCACGGGCTATCTCCCTGGCACTTAGGCAGTTCCTCATGCATCTGCCATATGCAACTGCTAGTACCAGGGGTGGAAGCATGCTGGAGGACAGCTTAGCCACCAGTTCCAGTCCACTTCATCCCTAATTCCTTACCACTGTCAGTGACTCCCACTCTCAGAAACACCTTCAGATGTATGTTGGAAACCACAACACCAGCTGCCTGTCAGAACTGGGGCAAAGTGGAGGCTTAAATAGTCCTCTTTGCCTCTCTTCATCCTGTCCCAGATTAAGCAGACAGCATTAAGCACCAGGGCAGGATCTGGTACCTTTTCCAGCACAGAGCACTGAGGATCCATCTGTCAGTAGCTACTGCAAATGCACCACCAACAGGCAAGGCCCTTCCAGGACCTATCTGCTTCAGGAGGGTTTTTAGTGCAACTAAATCAGAGACAAACAGCACAAGCCAGCAAAAGGAGCTGTGCATCTGATGATAGGAAGGCACATGGCAGAGTGAGGCAGCTATGCTCAGGAGGAAGATCCACGGGGCACAGAAGCAGGCAGATGTTCTGCTGCTATCAGCTGCCTGGCATGGGGATGCACAGCTTCTCGCAATGCCAAATAGGAAAACATGGGCCTGGGGATTTAAAGGACACTCGAGTTGAGAAGAGGGATTCTGTAAACTGCCCCAAAGCTGCAGGAGTGAGATCAAACCACCTGACCGAGAGCAGCCCTACGCAGAGGGAAGCCAGAGGTTGGTAGGATTTTGAGGTCACTGCTTCCTCTCAGCCCTACACTTTCCAAACTTCAGTTCTGGGAAATTTGAAAAAGCAACTTCATCCTCCTGTGACCCACACCAGCTAGAAACAAAACAACACAGTCCTGCATTGGCTATTCCAGGTGACTTCAGAAAAGCTGCCAGTTCCAGCCAGTCCTGGCTCTGAGCTATCCCTTCCTGATACACTTCATCTACACTGCTGACTCGGATGCCAGCTGTTGGAAGGAGCCAGCTGCAGCATCTGAGCACCACATTTCTCAGGAGCTACCAAAGGAAGCTTTACTTTGTTCCAACTGATTGCACATAATGGGAGAGGATAACAATTAGCATATCCATTATGCTTTTTCCCAACCTGCCCCCATTAGAGAGGAAAGCTCCTCTTGTCTGGGTGCCACTGCATACAACACCCTCTTGGTTCATAATTAGTGGAATAGGAATGCTCAGTCAGCTGGGAAATCTGCCCGAGTAAATGACATCCTCAAGTGCTTTCTAATCCAAGGTATGCAACCTCACACTTTGCTGCTAATGGAATACAGTGGGAGCACCAAGATTTCTGCTGTGGACCCACAGGCATCCAGGAACACCTCTCAAACTAATTCACTCCAGAATCCATGCCAGCAGCTCCAGCCCATCACCTGGGAGAACTCCTAGAACCTGCCAAGAGATCATGTCACTCAGTCCCTAAGCCCCTCCTATCTCCTCAAGGCAACAACAAACATACTCACTTTAAGGAAAGGTCTCTGTCAAGGGACATGGGAGCAACAGAAAGCCAGGAGCAGGTTCAAGGATGGCATGCAGTACTGTTAGCACAGATAGGACTTTAGAATTGAAAGAACAGAGGTTACAAGTCAAGATAGGAGCTGCACAGCACCTGGAAAACCACACACTAGATATTAATTAAAATAACACTTTGCCTCACTTCTGCATTTAGATGCACAGAAGAATCCATCCTGGTAATTTATGGCATGTAGCTGCTGATATGCCAATCAAAGGAAGCCCAGAGTAACAAGTGTTGTTAAGAGACCTTGTTGATCCTCATCTCCACAAACACAGGCTTAATTCCTTTCACCCTAGTTAATCAGGTTACTTTGTTTTAATTTCTTAGACAAAAGGGGTAGCATTGGGCATC